AAAAAAAACAAAAAATCTATTTATATATACATATAAAAAACGAAAATAATAAAATAAAATAAAAAACTACTATATATATATATATATATATATATATATATATATATATATATATATATATATATATATATTTGGATTAATAAATATAGATATCTTATAATCTATATCTATCTATAATTAAAAAGAGAGGAAGAAGCATCCTCATTAAAATAGGCCATTTGGCACTTTAGGACAATCCTCCAAAAAAATAGGAGCTAGAAGATTATTTAAAATAAATAAATCAGATTTTTTTATTTTTAAAATATTAAATATTATTTTAAAAAAGTTAACTGATTTTAAAGCTTAAGTTTATTAATCTGTAAATTTAAAAAGGAAATCTGATTTAGATTGTTATTTAAAAATTATACATTAAAATTTGCACATGTTAAAACATACATTTTTGACTCTTTAGCTTTGAACCATAAAGACCGACTTTTTTTTCAAATATCGTTATTTAATTCAAAATTTTAGTTTTATTCATGTTTAAGAAAATTAACTGATTTTAAAAATACATCTTAAAAAATTTACTGATTCAAAATTATGAAATAAAAGCTCCTTCAAATGCATCTACTTTAAACCATGAAGACCATAAGTTTTTTTTCAAGAAAAGAGCTTTATTTAATTCAAAAGTTCTGATTTCTTTATATTTTAAAAGTTAACAGATTATAAAACATTGTTTACTCCTTAACTTTAAAAAAGAAAACTGATTTAAATTATTATTTAAAAATCAAAAATTGCACATTTAGAACCCACTCCCTATCCTCTCTAAAACCATTAAACACGATGCAAACCACTTTGAAACCTGACTATTCCACGATGTAAACGCACGTTGAAACCTAACTATTCCACGATGCTGACTTTTATTTCTCCAACTTATAGCATGTTCTTAACTTCAAATATTCCACCTGCTATCAAAAATACAAGAAAACATACGATTTCAGCAAATATGACTATTCACACTGATTTAATCAAGCAAGTTCAAAGTTCGGATCCTTACCATTCCAATGGTATTTTCTGGATTGAATTGGTTCTACAAGATGAAAAGGTATTAAAAATCTATTATTATCTTATAATTCGTTTTTAAATTTTCATGTGTATATTCATGGGATAATCAATAGCAAAAACCTGATTGAAGCATTTGTGCACCAAATATGTATATCCTTAAATATGTTTCTCAGTGATGTACTAAGAATAATACACAACAAATACATTACTCACCTGCATAGAACTTTTTGATGAAACTGCAAATTAGTTTTGCAAATGATCTATTTTTTCTCATCATAGTAGAAAAAGAAAGTCTTTATTTTGAGCTTAATTTGTTCCGCTAAAATGTAAGTTTGAAGGCAAAACTATTGTACATGCATGGATACGATCAATTTTTTATTTTTTAACATATTAAGCATTTTGAAATGTATGACAAGAGGACTAGATCAGCCATAAGGCAACATCGAGTTGTTAACTACTCGGATGTATGTATGCATTACTTTAATGCTAATTCATAGGAAGTCAAAAATATAAAATTCCACCAAGCCTCGAATAACTTTTTGCCTTTATTGTTTCTCAGTCATAATTTATTCTCCATAAAACATAGTATTATAGTTTGGGATAAACATTTAGAGGAATATATTTGAGGAACTTTATTCACCATTATGAGTTTTTTTAGAAGTAGAATAGGCTTTTTCTAATATTCAATTTGGTGGTTATGCATTGTGACAAATTGAAGCATAATTTAGTTCTTTATTCTTCACTTACAACCAATTGATTATTATTTGAAAAGTTAACAAGTAAAGCTTTATAGGTTTGGTTTAGTGTTTCTACCTAATTCACCATGAAGCAAGCAATAACAGAGAGATAGGTGAGTAGAAATAAAAATATATTAATGTCACAGTCATATGCCGTAAGGAATATAATAAAATGCAGGCTATTTACATTTCCAAGACAAAATTAAGGTTTCACCTAAAAGACCAGCTATCTTGAAAGAGCTAAATTTTATAGCAACTCTCCGTTCATTAAGAGGAACTGAATTGACAGGCTATTATGCTTATTTCAACAATACTGGTGCAAGGCATGTGGGACTCACGACTTGGGTTGCTATAATTGGAGCTATAAGGAGAACTTTTTCAACGCCTTCTTATTCTTTCTATCTCAATGGGTTATGGTGTTGTTCGTCCTACCCTTGGTGGTCTCACCGCAAAGGTGCTCCTTCTTGGAATAACTTATTTTGTGGCATCTATACTACTAAACATTACCGAATACGTTGGTACAATAAATGACATTGCTGGGCGAGCAAGAGTCCTGTTGGTCCTTCCTGATGCATTGTTAGATGCATTTTTGATCTTATGGATTTTCACTTCTCTTTCCAAGACACTGGAGCAGCTTCAGGTATCACCTTACTGTTTGTATTGAATTTGTGTACAAATACATTTTGTATTTGTCTCATCTCCTTTTTCTCATAAAATATCTGATTTTCACAAGATTTTGTTTTCGTCAGGCAAAGAGGAGTTCTGTGAAGTTGGATATTTACAGACAATTTTCAAACGCATTAGCAATCACTGTCATTGCTTATTCTCCAAAGTTTTAACAGTCAAAGTATCAATGCACCTGTTCAATATTTTTTTCCTTTTGCCTTGCATTTCAGATTTGCCTATGGAGACAATATCACCTAAGACATCCAATTTTTTGGGATTTTTGGCTTTCTTAATATTTCTATTGTAATCTTCTTGCAAAGGAGCATTTGATGATCACAGTGCTAATTTCATTATGACTTGAATATATGAATATTCAATACATTCAATGGTTCATAAAATAACAGCATTTTAATGCTCCTTTGTGTCTATCATATTTTAAAAAAAAAAATATTTTTTATATTATCCGCGCATCGCGCGGGTACGTATACTAGTACTATTTAATTGAATAAAAAATAAATCCTAAATACCACTTCATATCAGTCGCAACCATTTACTAAAGTTGTAGCCAACATGTTAATGCAGATCCATCAACTATTTTTGTTCTTACATATACTCCACTAGTATTATTTTTTATAATCTCATTTCTCCACGTAGATTCAATATTTGAATGATTACATCGCTTATGTCATCGGCGGCTTTCCAGCCTTGCCCCATGACCCCTTGGGCGCGCCCCGTTGCGTCCTAGCAAGCCTCCCAATGCCTAGCGCCACGGACAGCCCCGAGGTCTTGGCTACGCCAAGTGACAAGCGTGCATGTGCCTCTGTCGCCCCACCGATATCCCTCACCAGCGCCCAGCCGCAGGCAGATGCCAACAACGCCGCGCGCGCAGTCCCTGATGCCAAAGAGAATGTTGCTGACAACGGACCTGTTTCTACCCTGTAAAAACTAAGTCTTTTTCATTGTAAATATGGAGTAGTTTTATTTCATGTACTTCCATTATGTTTCTCTAGCTTAGTCAAGTCTAGTCTTGTAACTTTGATTTATTTTTTTTAAGCACTATTAACAGATCAAGCAATCAAACTTTCTAGCAATTTGCAAGCAAACAATTCTCTGTACTGGTGTCTCTCCCCCTCGACACCGTGTTGTTTTTCTGTAATAGCTTTCATTAATGCAATCAAGCTTTCTTTCATTCTCAATTCTCATTTATGTTCTCTCAATTGCTCTTGACATTGATTTTCCCGTACGGCACTGACAATCTCGTCTAGCGTATGGAGGGGACCTCAGTTGGCGGACAGTAACTGCACATTAGTTGCTTAGCCTTATGTCGCCCATCCAAGGAATCTTAGGAAGGCGCCGCGTAACACTTAGCATACCTTAGTGTTTCTTCAAAACCAAAATGTCACCTTGAAATGTTAGAAATTCGAAAATGGGATTTCCAGACTTTGAAATTACTTAAGTGGAAAATTCTCCAAAATAATTGGTCCTGCAACTATTAACCATTTAAGGATAAATTAAAACGCATTCATGTGCTAATAGTTTTGGAGACCAATTAAATACTACAAGGTAATGTGTGACGACCCAAAGGGTGATCACCGGATTTTTCTATTTTTCCGTGCTTCCGAGGCCTTGAAAACCTCACCTTTAGTTGCCTCGATTTGCGTGCACAGTCCGGGCGCGTAGCCGGAAAGATTATATGTTAAATTCTGTGAAAAATTTCAAAATGTGGCTTTAAAATGATTAAAGTTGACTTCGGTTAACATTTTTGGTAAACGGACCCGGACCCGTAATTTGACGGTCCCGGAGGGTCCGTAGAAAAATATGGGACTCGGGCGTATGCCCGGAGTCGAATTCCGAGGTCTAGAGCCCGGGAAAAGAATTTTTCTGTGAAATTGTTTTTCTGAAATTATTAAGGAAAATGGAAATGAAAATTGATTAAAAGACTGTGGTATCGGGCTCGTATTTTGGTTCCGACGCCCGGTACAAGTCTTATATATGGTTTAAGCGCTTTCTGTGAATTTGATCGAAATCGGACGTCATTTGACGTATTTCGGACCTAAATATCTAAAATTTGAAGTTTATGAGGTTAGAATGAAAAATGATGATTTTGAGGTTTGATTCCTCGTTTATGATGTTATTTTAGCGATTTGATCGCTCGATTAAGTTCGTACGATGTTGTTGGGTTAGCGTGTGTGTTTGGTTAGGAGCCCCGAGGGCTCGGGAGTGATTCGGAGGTGGTTCGGAGTTGTTTTGCACTTAGAAATACAGCAGATTTTCTGCAATTTTTGCACAGGCCTTTTCTTCTTCGCGATCGCGGCCTTAGGCTCGCGTTCGCACTGCCCATGGTGTTCCCCTCTACGCGTTCGCATCTCCATAATCGCGATTGCGTAAGTCAAGTTCAGGACCCCAGGGACTTCCTCTTCGCGTTCGCAGTCAGATGTTCGCGAACGCATAGACTTGCTGCTTCCTCCATCGCGTTCGCGTGGCCTTTTACGCGTTCGCATAGAACAAACCTGGACCCCCCATCATTTCCTTCTACGCGTTCGCGTTATCTTCCACGCGTTCGCGATGACCTGCCCAGTTTACCCTTCGCGAACGCGGTCCCCTTCCCGCGAACGCGAAGGGCATTTTTGCCCAGTGATTTTTAAAGCTCAAAAACAGACCAGTGACGGGATTATTCCAAAATTTCACACGAGCTCTTCTACTCCACACCCCCTAGGTGACTTTTAGAGCGATTCTTCACCAAAGCTTCTTGGGTAAGTATTTTCTAACTCGTTTTCTTCATTTTCTATCATCATTGATCAAATTCCTAGACCTAAATCATGTAACTTAAGGTGTAAATTGGGGGAAAAGGGTAGAATTAGGGCTTTTCAATTTTCTTTGATTTAGACCTCCTTTTGGGGTCGAATTTGAAAACAAATTATATATTCGGGCTCGTGGGGGAATGAGTGACATGGAATTGGTTCGAACCTCGGGTTTTGACCAAGCGGGCCCGGGGTCGATTTTTGGAATTTTGGGTAGAAAGCTTAGAAATTCATATTTAGGCATTGGGTTTAGTTTGTTTAGCTATTATTAATATTGTTAAGTCATTATTTCATAGATTTGACTGAGTTGGAGCCGAATTCGAGGGGTAAAGCTATACTAGAGGCTTGAGTTGATTTTGGAGCATTTGAGGTAAGTGTTTGATCTAACTTTGGCTTGAAGGAATAGATTAGAGTGTTATTATTTGCTAATTGCTAAATGATCGAGTACGGTGTATAGGCATGGTGACGAGTATCTATACACCGGTGTCTAGCATGACCGTGTGTCCTTGTATGTACTTATCCTGATATTGTTATGACTCTTCCATGTTAATTGATGAATTCTATGCAATGTGAAGAGTATGAGGACTAATTATGAATTGTAAATTCTTTGGAGCGTTGGCTCGAATGATAAAAAAGACTATTGAGTAAGAAATGAAAGAAATAGAAAGTGATATGATTAATCCCTTGCCGGGATGGTTTGAGTACATTGATTATCTCCCTTGCCGGGATGTGAGAGTATTGTTGTTGCTCCCTTGCCGGGATTTAGCTGATAATTGTGTAATACCCTTGCCAGGACATTTCTTATTATTTGTTTATCCCCTCGCCCCGTTTGGTTGTGATTACTGTTTGGGTGAGGAAGAGTGATAATGCACGAAGGGTCATTCCGTACCATGCTTTGATTATATTTGCACGAAGGGTCATTCCGTGCCATGTTTTGATTATATTTGCACGAAGGGTCATTCCGTGCCATATTTTGATTATTTATACACGAAGGGACATTCCGTGCTCTGATTTGATTATAATTGCACGAAGGATCATTCCGTGCCATGATATGAGAGTTATGTGAGGGAAAGCACGAAGGGTGATGCCGTGCACTATATTTGATTGCTTTTGGTGAGAATGAGAGTAAAAGCACGAAGGTTAATGCCGTGCAACTGTTGATTTTCCTGCTCTCATTAATTATTGTTATTGCCCTGTTTCTTACTTAAATTGTTGACTTTATATCCGGACTGTACTCCCCCATAGTATGCTTCCCTCCCTCTTAACTGTTTAATTTCTTTGTTCTTTCCTTTTATTGCATATATATATTGAACTGCACAGGTTGGTTTGGTAGCCCTGTCTAGCCTCGTCACTACTTCTCCGGGGTTAGGCCAGGCACTTACCAGCACATGGGGTCGGTTGTGCTGATGCTACACTTCTGTGCTCTTTGCACAGATCACGGTACCGGAGCAGCTTTTGGACCACAGCTGTAGGATATTGATCGGGAGCTGACTTCAGTCCAGGGACTTACGAGGTAGCCTAGCTGGTGTTCGCAGGCTGGAGTCCCTTTCTATGTTTTCAGTTTGTTTTCATTGTACCGAGACAGACACTCATGTATTTCTATTCAGACTTGTTTGTAGCACTCTTTAGTAGTTCGTGAGATAGCGACACCTAGTCTTGGGTAGAGAAATGTTAAACTTCCGCATTTTTGGGTTTTTCAGTTATCTGTGTTTTAAAGACTTCCGCTTTAATTTAAGTGACTCGTTATATTTATATTGTTCTTGTTGGGATGTTATCAGAAAATGTTTAAATACTTGGCTTGCCTGCTCCGATAGTAGGCGCCATCACGACCCCCGTGTGGTGGGAAAGTCCG